ACGGACCCATAAATTTCATATAGTGGTGTCTTCTTCAAAAATTAAACTTAAATAATAATTAAAAATCTGAAATAAAAAAATAAACAACTAGTACACATTACAACGAAAGCTTTTTTAATATACAAAAAAGAACTCGTCATTCATAACAAAATAATAATTCTCAAGATCACATAGAAGAAAAGAATCAGAAAAGTGATCAAAATATTCTTCAAGGCTAAAATTGTGTGTTTAGAATATGGTGGGAGATAAAGGGTACCGGTGGGTTTAATTTTATATATTTTGAAACAATAGAAGATAAAGGCTAAACAATTATAATCATATATTTATGTTAAATTTAACAAATGAACTGCAGTAAAATGAAAAATAATATTTTAATAACTACAGTGTCATAACTTTGGGTTAATTCCATGAATATTGTTTTTTTTTTTAATTTACCACGAATATAGTGGTTTTAAAACTATTTACAAGAATATTGTGTTTTTAAGAAGGAAGTTGGCGACTGCACCCGAGACTCAGATATTCGAGTTTTAAAGGCTGTTGATAGCGACGGCGCCCCAGTCTCGAGCTTTGGCGCTTTCTGAAATTTCAAAAATTTTGAAAGGCGCCAAAGCCCGAGACCTGGGCGCCGTCGCTACCAAGCTTATTTTTTTTACCCCCTTCCTCCCCCTCCCTCTCGCACCACACCAGACACCAGACCCATCCCCCTCCCCTCTCCACTCCTCCTTCTCCATCCCAGCGCCGAGAACGAGCGGCGACGTAGAGAACCAGAGCGGCGACGCCGAGGAAAAGGCGGCAGCGCCCCAGTCCCAGGCGACGGCGCGCGGCACAAGGCGGCGGCGCTATGTCGGACGACGAGCAGGCCCCCAGCGGCAGAGGAAGAGGCCGAGGCCGGCGAGGCCGGCGTGGCGGCGGTGGCGGTGACGGCGGCGGCGAACGTTACCGGAGTGAGTCCTGCCGGCGGCGGCCGGCTTCTCGCCGGCGGCAACTTTTTTCCGGCGACATTTTTTTTTTTTTGTGTGTTCTGATATTTTTTTTTCCGTTCCTAGGCTTATCGATCCTTGTTCGATGAGACCACCACCTACGACAATCGATACTGCTCCGAATGATCCGGAACTTCTTTGGGGGCATGGTCACCATCGGATTGACGCAGTTTGGGCAAATGAGGTAAGTTTTTTAAATTAAATTATTTCTATAGTTTTTTTTATTAGCTGTATAATAGAATATATTAGAAATAGAATAGAATTAAATTAAATTAAGAATAGAATTAGATTAAATTAAGAATATTATTAGATTAAATTAAGAATATTATATTAGAATAAGTTTAGTTTAGATATATAAATATAAATATTAGGTGAATTGAATTGAAGGAATTGAATTAATATAGTTTTGTGCATTAATTAATTATAGGTTGGTGATCGACCATACCACATTCGTCATACGGGCAATTTAGTTCGATACAATCCACTGTACCTGCCGTATCTCGTCGACATTTAATGTGAACTTAAACCAAATTATAAAATATTGCACATGTGATTACTTTTCATTTGAGAAATTTCAGGTAGAACATGAATATATGTTTTCACTTCATCGGACATTTCACATGCCGTTCGGTGAGGTGACGATCACCCTAGAGGACGTTGCGACACTCACCGCATTAGCGATCGACGGTGATGCCGTCATAGTAGACATACCAGACGAGGACTGGTCGGCTATGTGTCTTCGACTGTTAGGACAGGCTCCTACTGATCTTGGCGGCGGCGTCATCCGGATTACTTGGCTCAGGGAGACTTTCGATGAGCTACCGCTTTCTGCATCACCAGAGACGACAGAGCAGTATGCTAGAGCGTATGCGCTGTCTCTGATGGGAGGTGTCTTGTTCTCCGATCGATCTGGAGGTTCAGTTCACCTGCAGTATCTACTTTTGGTAGAGGATTGGCGCAGAGCGGGGAGGTTTGCTTGGGGAGCAGCTGTGCTATCCTACTTGTACCGTGAGATGGGTAGATCGGCGCTGCAGATGACGGCATCTTCTTCACTGGGTGGTGACTTTGGTGGATGGGCCGCCTTGCTGATGATCTGGACGTGGGAGCGGTTTCCTCATACATCACCACTACATGCGGTGACGGGTGCGCAGATTACTCAGGACGCAGTGCCACGTGGCATTCGGTGGCTTCCGGCCCAGACCCGTCAGCATGGAGATCAGTTCTACTTGTACAAGCTGTGGTTTGACGAGTGCACGACATTCGTGGTTAGTATATAACATTTCGTTTTATAGAATAGTTTTAATTGATTTATTATAGATTTAGGAGTAATTATGTGACCAATCCTTGTGTGCAGTGGCGTCCGTACTTTCATAGAGGTCAGGACTACAGCGGTACTGTGATCCAGTCCCACACGTTTCGAGCAGTAGTTCCGCTGATCTGCTTCTCATCGCAGATGTGGCATCATCCAGATCGCGTGCTAGGACAGTTTGGAATGGTTCAGGACCGGCCTCATCCTCCACATTCCGCGGCTGAGATTAGATTTTTTCTTCGTGTGGGACAACATGGACCATCACGTGGCCAGCAGTTCATACAGGCAGCCAGCGAGTCGATTGAGTTGTGGAACCGTCGACATGAGTTCGTAGCGCAGACGAGCTACAGTGCCGTGGAATTAGCTTACCACTCGGAGCATCAAGAGTGGTATAGAGATGTCACTAGACATTCAGGCACACGGAGACATGTCTCCATGAGTAGCACTCCTTTATACTTCCCAGTAAGAAATGTCCCATCAACAACCATGACGCCTGGACAATACTTGAATCCATCTATACAAGGTCCATAAGCCCAAAATACTCGCTGAAATATCGAATGACCTGGTTGAGTCGAAGGAACTCTTACCCAATCAATCACCGATGTTGGCATTTTTCTCTTGACCACCCGCAAGAATGTCTGCAAAAAATCATAGGATTCTTCCTAATTTCCATGCAACTTCTCCAATGCTCTTTGTTTCCCATACCAAGCCTTCTTGTAAGTAACTTGCATATTAAACTTATCTTTCAACTCGGCTTGCACAGTTAGAACACTCAGATTTGGTTGGGCACGTACCAAATGTTTGACGGCCTCAGATATCACGTCGACATCAAGATGGCGATGATCCGTCGGTTGAGTCGTACTACTACAAGTATGCACCAACTCGACCTTTCTCACGCTCCAATCGCCTCCCACATCTCGACATCCAAACCGCACCATCCAAGGACATTTGTCCTCCTTGTGCATCAACATCTGATCTTCCAGATTGAAGGTGACGACTCCACCACGTTATACTGAAAGTTGCGTTGTAGTGCATATATAGTGCTTAATCGCCACCCGTGCAGCTTGTTTCGAGTGAAATATCTGCCCCTTGTAGAATTCTCCATCAAAACCACCAACACTAGACCCTGGAATTACGCCATATGAATCAGCATATGATAATTCCTCGTCCTCTTCATTACCCTGCAAGTAAAAATATGGAGGATAATTAGGTAGTTCTCCTCCCTCCCCGTCATCCTCCTCCTCCTCATCTTCCTCCTCCTCCTCATCTTCCTCCTCTTCGTCATCACCGTCATCAAAGGCAGGATCGGATGGCACGCTCCATGTATCATCACTGTCATCATCGTCTTCCTCTCCATCCCGATCCTCACTGAGCTCAGCATGTATCTCAGCACCCAAACAATAAGGATTTTGTGCCATAAAATTCCAAAGCACATTTAAGCTATCATCATCGACAATAGGCATTGCATAATGAAATAAAACATCATTCTGCCATTCTGGAAGACAGTAGGTGAAACCTGTAATCACAACACTATCTTGTACTGTTTCGTCTCTAATCCGTATTCTCCGAATTAGATGATCACAAAGTTTCTGATAGTTCACCCTGGATGGAATAGTCATCTGGAAACTTAAACCACCAACAAAATGGACACCCAAATTGTCTTCTACTTTCTCTGATCGCCACCGAACAGCTAGTTCAAATCTCCTAAAACCACTACATTAAAAACAAACTCTAATTACTAACTGGACAAAATCATTATGATGAATACATGGGGAAAAAAAATTACGACTCTTACCTGTTATTAGCCATCTTCCCAGCAACCAGACAGCAACACCAGAGCTTCTCTCAGAACTTCTTTCAGTTTTTTGGTGATGAAGAACCGAAGGAAAGGTGCAGTATATATATGAATGGGTGGTGCTGGAGTGGAAAAAAATGGCAGCGACGAAGCCCCAGTCTGGGGCGCCGACGCTTTTTCTTTCTCAAAAGCGCCAAAGCCCCAGTCCGGGGCGCCGCCGCCAAGTTTATTTTTTTAAAAAGCACCTAGCGGCGGCGCCCCGGACTGGAGCTTCGCCGCTTTCAACATATCAAAAAACACAATATTCCTGTAAATAATTTTAAAACCACTATATTTGTGGTAAATTAAAAAAAAAACAATATTCATAGAATTAACCCCATAACTTTGAATCACGTAAAGTATCAGTTATTTATTTTCCTCGTTTCCATATTCAAATCACTGTAGAAGCTTCGGGTGTCTCACACCACCTGCATACCCCTACACTCGTCACATTATTGTAATTTCAATTTTCAAGCGCCAAGTGTTTTTCGTTTTTCCAACTAAATATTTGACTTAGCGCCACTCGATCTCATCAAATACGTAGCCGAGAATTTTGGGGTATGGGCGCCGTCGCTGTCGTAAAAAAAAAAATGCATAGTTGGGAGTCGTGTTGTGTTCACATTTCGTCGTATTATAAATACGAAATGGACAGAACGAGGAAAAGAGAGAGAGAGAGAGGCAGACTGCAGTGCCAGCCCTGGTTGTGATTTTCGCCCTCCTTTCCTTTCTTCTCCTCCAAAAGCACTCAATTTCCCACGAAACAACCAACACCACCACCACCATTATTTTGTTTAATCACCAATTATTAACCCACTCCCCAATTTCCCTCCATCTCCTCCGAACCTTCACCCCCAATTTCCCCTCCGCCGCGACCACCATGGGGAACTGCCTCGCCATGGGAACTCCGGTCAACCACTACCAAGCCCCCACCACCACCGCCGCCGCCGCCTCTCCAGGTTCGAATTCGTTCATTGACGGTCGTTGGTTTGCTTTTGGTTGCCGGAAAATGAAATTCTTATTGACTGGGTTGTTGTTCGATGTGGCAGAGTTTAGTGCCTCGCGGAATAACAGCAGCGACGACGTCGTTGAGAGCGTGAGTAATAGCGGCGGAGGCCACAGTACTACTACAAGCGGCGAAACGGCGGGTAGGCCGAGCTTGAAGATCTTCAAGCTGGCGGACTTGAAGAGCGCGACGAGGAATTTCCGGCCGGACACTGTGCTCGGGGAAGGCGGGTTCGGGACGGTTTACAAAGGGTGGATCGACGAGAGGACCTTCGCGCCCTCCAAGGTCGCCGTCGGGATGCCCGTCGCCGTCAAGCGATCCAACTCCGACAGCAATCAGGGGCTCGAGGAGTGGCAGGTAAATTACAAACTTTGACTTTTTCCTCCTGTTTTATTTTATATATATAGTGGGCGACGACGACGCCAACCGTCCTCTCCTCAACATGATTACATGATATACCTATATAATACCGTTTTTGGGTAGAATATATAATAATATAACGGTAACGGACGTATGTGTATTGACAATTTAGAATGATTTAACCTCTACAACACGTCATTGCTTACATATACCTAAATGCGACATTTGAGCATATATTAGGTTATCTACGAACGAAAAACCAGTTACATTTACTTTGTTTTTAAATACTTATTAATTATAAAAAAGATATTAACATTTCGGATTACCACAGAATGCATGTGGTAGCATTATGTAATTTCTCATGATCAAAGTACAACGATACAAAAATATTTATAAAAAAAAACAGGTACTATTATTTGTTTTTTATTAAAGTGAAATCTGATGAAAATTGCACCTTATTTTTATCATTAATGGGAAATTAAATTTTTATTTAACTTATTGCTTACAACATATGTTTGAACAATAAAGGTAAGCTTAATATACATATAAAATAGTAAGAATTTCTGAACAAGCCAATCACTCTAGGGGTCGTTTGGATGAGGGTTTTTAATATGAGAGATTTGTGAGAGATTTAACTTCAAATCACTCGTTTAAAATACCAGGAATTTTATTGGCAGGAATTATCCAAATTAACTCGTTTGGAAGCTAATGAGGGTTTTCACGCTAGAAAGGAAAAAGGCAGTTTTACCCCATTTGTTTATGGTGATCTTCGTTATCGGCAAGAACAACAATGTGAAACCCAAAAATCCTACACCAGTGATTTCTTAGGAAGCACATATACCTTCGCAGTAGCTTGATTTTTTGTCCCTGCAAGACCACTGCTTCCCTTCCATTTTTGTTTTTCTCCCCACCAACTATCCCTCCCCTTCAGAAACATCAATTAGCAACCCTACGCCAAGCATAATCGCAGCCGCTCCTAGCATCATCGTCCACCGCTGCCACGCCCGCAACGCAAACCTCGGCCACCGCCTGCTCGACCACCGCCTCGTCCTCCTCTAAACCTGCCACCGTCTCGGGGTTTCATGGTTCTTCTTCTTCGCTGCCGCTGTTACAGGGAGGATCGCCGAGCTTAACCAGGAGACAGTGGGAAGAAATTGAAGAACGCCGCTGTTATTGGGGCAACGTTCAAATCCCAGGCGGCGGTGGGAAGAAATTGACGACGAGTGACCAGGTTTGGCGTCGATGTTCAAATTCCATGTGATGGTGGGAAGGAATCGAAGACGAGAGACCAGTTTGGGCGGCGCTCAAATTTTCAGGCGGCGGTGGGACGGAATCGCCGACGGGGACCAGGTTTGGGTGGGAAGAATATCTCGACGTGATGGGAAGAATTGGGTGAGGACTAGTACCACAACTTTTGGGCAACGGACGACATTGGGTAGTGTTGGTGTTGAATGGGTCGACGACGAACTGCAGATAGAAGAAAGAAAGGGTAACAGTTGGAAAATAAAATATAAAAATGAGAGATTTCGAAATAGCTGGTGGCCATCAGCTATTTCAAAAACCCACATTTAAGGGTTTCTCAAATCTCTAATTATTAAAATCTCTCATTGTTTATGTTTTTGCCAAACAAGTGATTTTATTAAAATTCCTAATTGTGAGAGATTGTTTTAAAATCCCTCATAGGAAACCCTTATCCAAACGGGGCCCTAGAAGAGTAGAAGTGTTTAGGAGTAGGAAAACGAAGGAGTATCATCTTCTACCGTCAATCTAGAATAAGTAGCAGAAGAGTTCACCATGTACAAAGTCAAAGTCAAAGTCAGTGACTGACTGGAATTATATAAAAAATACACAGAAGAAGATGGTGATCATGGGATCCAAATTTGAACATTGTCAATGAGTTCAGACCTGTTTGTTGTCTCTTACTCGTATTTCACAAAAGAATGACACATAATTGATTTACTTAATTATTAATGAAGTATTGGAATATTGGGATCGATTCGGCAAAGAAATAGATCAGCCAACCCCACCAGCCCACAGACTAATCCTAATTGAAATATTCCTGGCTTTCCTAATTTTGTTGACCTCGCCACACAATTGCATTAATCTTATATTATTTTTATGTATAAAAAAAATAATATCTGTTTGACTTGTTCAGCCAATTTTTATATATTATTTTTATAGTCATAATTTGCAAAATGCATTGACAAATTTGAAATTTCCCATCATATCCGCAGAAAGTCATGGGGCTACCCATCTCTACAACCATGTGCCCCCATCCTTTTCTTTCTCAGAAATACAGACTAAAAATCATTCATATTCACACACACACACAACAGAACAGATTGAACGCAACCTCATGATTATCACTCTCCTCGTCGCGTTCGTGTCAAATTGATCTCAATGTAATTGTATGATAATAAACCAAAAAAATATTAATTAATGCGAAAGGGATTTATTGTTTGTTTGAATTCCAATTTCCAAGTAATAATATTTTTAGAATTATTCTATAGAACTTCGTAAATTTACCTAAAAAGTATACTATTAAGACAATTGGTCTACCATACATCCAAAATCAAGTGTGTGTCACAAACTAACTTCACATTCACATATTGTGTAAAGTTTGTAATGTATACATATTAAATGAGTGATATTGATGGTGTGTTTGCTTATTTTTGCAGGCGGAAGTCAAGTTCTTGGGGAAATTTTCACACCCGAATCTCGTCAAGTTGTTGGGTTACTGCTGGGAAGAGAATCAATTCCTGCTGGTCTACGAGTACATGCAGAAAGGCAGCCTGGAAAGTCACCTCTTTAGAAGTACGTACAATGAACACCAAATGAAAACCCTACCACGTATGACTTATCTCTTATAATTATGTTATGAACTTAGATGTAAATGTGAAGGGTATAATATATTGCATGATTGAAGTTGTACTCTAACATCTAAAAAAATGTTACAGAGAATGCAGATCCATTACCATGGGAGATCCGTCTGAAGATCGCAACGGGCGCAGCAGAAGGCCTAGCTTTCCTCCACTCCTCGGAGAAGAGTGTCATCTACCGCGACTTCAAGGCCTCCAACATTCTTCTGGACAAGGTACATATCGGTCTATCATAATTTAGAGCCATCCTTCGTGTTCCTCTTCCCCTCTCTCTTTTCCATGTTCGTCGTCGTAATTGTATTTTTACATTTGAGAAAATTTCGATCGACAGGAGTACAATGCCAAGCTATCGGATTTCGGGCTGGCCAAGTTCGGCCCGGTGAACGGGAAGTCCCACGTGACCACCCGTGTCATGGGGACCCACGGGTACGCGGCGCCGGAGTACGTGGCGACGGGCCACCTGTACGTCAAATCCGACGTGTACGGGTTCGGGGTGGTCCTCCTGGAGATGCTGACAGGCTTACGGGCCATGGACACGAACCGGCCCAGTGGGGAGTACAAGCTCGTGGACTGGGCCAAGCCCTCTCTCTCCAACAAGAGGAAGCTCAGGAAGATCATGGACCCGAGGCTCGATTTAGAGTACCCGTTGAACGCTGCGATGCAAGCAGCCGAGCTCATCCTGCAGTGCTTGGAGGTCGATCCCAAGAGCAGGCCTTCCATGGAGGAAGTGGTGGAGACTTTGAGGAAGGTAGCCGAGATCAAGGTGAAGCCCAGAGAGGGCAAAGAAGGTAAATCAGGAGGCAGGGACCGACGTGGCAGTCATGGTAGTCATAGTTACGGACATAGCCCAAGGGATCATCATCGGCCCAGATATGGTGGAAATGGGATTAATGGGTCACGGGCCCATTCAGCAGGTAGATAGCTAGGGACAGTATTTTCTTTGTGAATAAGTTAGTGCACAACGATGACGTACTATCCCTATATGTGCACGTTGACTCCCCATACTCGTGGACGCTTTTACTGGGCCGAACTTTGAGAAGAGGGAGATATCTCTGTAAGATAGATAATGGGTTTTTGTATCGGGTTGTAAATGGGCCACTGGGTGGGCCTCATTGTGCACGTTTGGTCCAGCTTGACTGCTTGTACGTTGGTAGATTGGTGATATCTTAGTTCAATTTTACACCCGATCGAAGTCTATGGTCACTTCAATTCGAGACCCTCAAGTGTGGTTAACTGGTTATGCTGTGTAATCCTACCCGACTCAAACTTGTACCCTAGGGTTGTTAGCTGCAATACATACAATATGAGCTCGAAGCACGAGAATACTACTTAAGCGACATGAAACTAGCGGTTTAAAAAAAGTGGCCGATAAGGTTAACGAGAATTCTGGATGAGAGAAGGGTAAGAGATTCACAATGGTTAAAGTTGCAATATACTATAAATCTAATATATTTGGTGTTTTTTAATGAAATGTAAAATATCTTGTATTGTAAGTCAGTCCGAAAGTTACATATGAGAAGGTCGACCATGATACAAGAATCTAATACAATTCCGATAACTTGGAATCATTTACCCGAGAGATAATGTTTCGTGGACTACTATTTCGAATTCTAAGCTTGGAAGAAGTCAAATGGATCCCATGTCAAGAGTAGTGATCGTGAAGAAGGCGATATGATTGCATGAGCTAGCAACACGATATGGAATTTTGTAGGGGAGGGGCCGGGGGAAAAAATGATATTCAGTGTTTTGCAAAGTACATATAGATAGGAGATTCATAATCATGAAGAAGATAGAAATGAGTAAACATAAGGGAACGGGACGAATTGGTAGCAGCCGGGATTTTCTTTTTACCCCTAGATAGACTCTAGGTGAGTCAAAGGATATGATTACTTGTATGCCCCATGATCATGACTATAGTTCATCAATGATTTGATGCATGGCGGTTTGCAACTATATATATGCTTTTGTCATTGAAAGGGATGTTTAATTTCTAATTAGCGCAAGAGATTTTGTTCTTTTTATACCAACACAAGTCTAGAGGGTGTATTATAGAGACTTAACTACAAGACTGACTGCAACCAAATGTGGTAGTACGTATGCAACGAATAACCAATGAAAGAGCATGTGTTTGCATTGAATGGGCAGCTTTGTCGAACCTCTAAGAAACACAAAGACATGTCATTGACTCGAACAATGGGGGGGGGGGGGGGGTGCATATTGGAAGATAGCCACAATCAAGGAGTGTGTAGTTTTGTTCGATGGAACATGTGGGATTACCAGTTATGGGTCACCACCAATTGTTACAACTTACAACCAAAAAACTAATGTATTAGGGAACATCTGATAGCATCTCGATGAGAAAGTAATTTAACAATAAAGGTATTCGGCCTGCCATCATAAAAGTTTCATTAAAAGTAAGTAAGATTGAATCATCACGTGATAGACCTACGAGATCGGTTGTACAAGAAATTTCTATCTCAAGATACTAAAGGTTGCCCTCGAAGCTTAGTCGAAAATCCCGAATAAATTAAACAACAACAACAGTGTGATTCAACTCTTGTAAGGAATTAATTCTAAACAATAAATAAAAATATTTTAAACTCATAATTAATCGGATTCTCCATAATTGGGGAAAATAAAAGCTTTATTGTTTTGGAGGTTGGAACTTGGAATAATTTAAATGGTTAGATGGAAGCTATCTAATTATCTGATTAGGTTATAGTGCGCATAGTCAAGCTAGTATCGTGAAGATCATTGATTGGTATTTTAGTAGTATTAAGGCCATGCCGATCTACACGTGAATGGTCTTTTGTTAATGAGATGCGATTTAGATTCCAAAACGTAGTAATCAATAGGAAAGTATGCCAAGGACTAACAAGGAGATATGATTGTTCCACATGCCCCACGCCCCCACTATTCTGACCAGCCATCCTACGGAAAAATACTATAGTAACCAAGAATAGTAAAATTATGTTGGAAGTTGTATGGAAAAAGTCAGTGATAGAATACAATTTCTGTTGAAATCATGGTTTCAGTATTTTATACCGTCAAAAACCGCTCATTAGTTTAGCCATCGATATAAGGTTTCATTGTCGGACCACTCACACAGTCCGTGTAAAATATATGAAGAAATGGAAATGACACAGTACATGATTTACGTGATTTTCTCGTTCTATTCAGTTTGAACGAGACTACTCCACGCAGATCGCTACTGCTCTCTGATTTTTGTTATTATTTTTGTAATCTACAGAGTGAGACTACAACCATACAATGACACCTTTTATATCCGAGACCCTATCACAATCTAATTAGGGTTCAGTTACCTCCATAGGGGAACTAACATAATCATCACCCCAATAACATAAAAGGTCAACTAGGTCATTAAACTATGCACATCATTAACATGCATGCTCCGCAACACTCACCCTCAAGCGGAGGCGTGAATGTTGTGAACGCCAACCTTGAAAATCAAATAAGAGAATCGACCAGCCCCCAAACCCTTTGTGAACATATCTGCAACTTGGTCTTGGGTGGGTATCTTCTAATGAGCTATCTCCTAAGAAGCCACACGTTCATGCATGAAATAACAATCCATCTTAACATGCTTTGTTAGCTCAAGGGATATCTAGTTGTGATATGCAATGTGGCTTTGCTGTAAAAGTGTAAAGGCGTGGGAGCATTCATGTCCACTCCAAGATCACGGAACAGCCAACACAGCCAAATCAATTCACTCACAGTGCTTGTCATAGTTCTATACTCTACTTTTGCAGAGGAACAATCTACAATTGTTTGCTTCTTACTACGCCATGATACCGGACTGTGACCCAGTTGAATGAAATAATTCGTTGTTGACCTGCGAGTTTGTTGACAACCACCCCAGTCTACATCACAAAATGATGTCAAACTTAGAGAACCTGTTAGAGTAGCCAAAAGAGTAAAGGAAATACCGGATTGGTGGGAGAAGGAAAGTGCAAGTTGTTTTTAAGTTTGCTTTCCGCTTTAGTTATTGGATAAAGTCGTTAGTGGGCTTTTGGAAAAAATGTGGGCTATTTAATTTGACATATTAAATCGCACTAAGCACATAGCACTTTGCACGTTTGCGCGACGCGTTCGGAAATTAATTTTTGGCTATTTAATTAATTTTGGATAATTAATTGAATTTGAGTTGTGTGAAACGACGTAACCTTTGAGAAGGTAACTGTCGTTTTCTCAAATCTTATAAGAAACGTTGGCTAGAAGTTTGAGTTCCAACGTTCATCTTCTTCTCCTCGTTTTTCCTTCTCCAAAAACACAAATACAGAAGTCACGAAAGGTGCTGCTTTCTGACTTTGATTGGAGGGATTCCTGGGGGTGGTTTGCCTAAATCCTACCAGCAACAGCGTAGTGGGGGCAAATAAACACTCTAAGGAGAGTGATCAAAATCACGCTTTCAATCCGTTTTCTCCATACTATTTCCCTGACAATCTTAGAGTGTTTATTTTTGTGTGACAATGGATTCTGGAGTGGAGAGCACTTTGAAGGCGTATGCCTCTGATTCCAACAAACTCAATCGGTTTGATGGAACCAATTTCACCCGCTGGCAAGAGAAGATGAAGTTTCCGTTGACTGCTTTGAAGATCGTGTACATACTGGATCCTGATTTGGTGCCGCTAGGAGAACCACAAGACACGGACTCTGATGAATTCGGAGGATACATCCTCAATTCACTTTCTGTCTCTACGATCTATATTCCCAGTTGGTTACCCCTACTGAGATTTGGACATCTTTGGAGAACCAGTACAAATCAGAGAAACAAGGCGCAGACAAGTTTATCACATTCCAGTTCTTTGAATTTAGCATGAATGATAAGCGTTCAATTCTGGATCAAGTTCATGAATTCCTAATCTTGGCCTCTAAGTTTACTGCGTTGAAGATAACTCTTCCTGATGCGTTTCTAGTGGGGGTAATTATTGCGAAGTTGCCTCCATCATGGAACAACTATAGGAAGAAATTACTTCATACGTCAGATGAGTTCAATTTGGAGCAGATTCAAAAGCACCTTAGGATCGAGGAGGAAACTCGTATCCGTGATAAGGATCTGAATTTGGAGGCACCATCAAGTTCCAAAGTGAATGTTGTGGAGAGCAAGAAGGGAAAGAAGAGAAAGGCCATGAATAATTCCAACAATCAGACCAACAACCAGAAGAATAAAAAGAAAAAGTCGTCCCCTATGTACACTAAGAATTGTTTCAATTGTGGGCAATTGGGACATATTGTTCGCTTCTGTCCTAAACCAAAAAAGAACCAGAACAAAGGGGCTGCAAGTGCAAATGTGATTGAGAAAGTTGAGCCTAGTGAGATTGTTGCAATGATTTCTGACTTACATGTGAGTATGATTCAGGAATTTCACATGGCTGGAGTCATGACCAGTGCTGATTGGTGGTATGATTCGGGGGCAACTGATCACATTTGCAACAAGAGAGCCATGTTCAAGGACTACACAGAGTCGACGGAGGGACATGAGGTTCTGTTGGGTGATCATCGCACGATCAAGGTTCTTGGATCTGGAACCGTGGAACTTTTCTTCACTTCGCGAAAGAAAGTTGTTCTCACCAATGTCCTTCACGTTCCTGATGTTAGAAAGAACTTGGTTTCTGGTTTCATGCTTTGTAAGAAGGGGGATAAAGGTTGTGATAGAATCTGATAGGGTGATTCTGACCAAGGTTGGTATGTTTGTGGGGAAGGGCTATGTTAGTGATGGTATGTTTAAGCTAAGTATTGACAATGGTAATATTAATAATAAAGTTATATGATTCTGCTTATGTCGATGTGCATGCAAATTATAGTATAGAAAGTACTTCATTTTATTTATGGCATAATCGATTGGGGCATGTTAACTTTAAGACTCAGAAATACATGTCTAGAAATGGTTTAGTGGTTTGT